TATTTTTGAATATTTTCAACGCCTTAAATGCATGTAAAGAAAATACAATAACCTTAATTAACATAGACATTTTTTATCAATCGTTGATAAAGAACCCGTATTTTTATATCTTTTGTTGACTACTGAATTGTAACAAAATTTTATGTTTATTCAACTTTCCATGTTATTAAATAACTACTGAATATTTGGTAGGCAGAAAAAATACGGGATCAAAATAGGTCAGTCGGCATATACTGGACGCTACCTATGTGCGCGTAAATTTTAGGGCTTTTCCTACGACGACGAGCAGGTAACGGGTTTGAGAAGGGCGCGAAACGCCGCTTATTTTATAGTAATTTTATTTTCTTTATTATATTTTTTAATGTGGATCCATTTAAAAATAATTTCTGTTACATATTCTTTTTCGAATAGTTTCATATGAAAAAAAAAATTGTTGTAAAAGTTTAATTAATCGTTAATCGCTCTTATTATATTATTTATTATAACCATTTTTTTTTCAAATATTTTCCCCAGACCTATTTAGTAATAAAGTGGAAATTTATAAAAATTTTTATAGGATATGGTAAATCAAACGAGCACACAGTCCACCTGATGGTAAATAGTTGCTGTGACCCATAAAAATCTACATTATATCCTCAATAAAGAATCATAATGCAGGAGCGTTGTCACCCTTGAGGACTAAGATGGAATGCCTCTTTTCCAGTAAAGAGGGTCTCCGGTTCTTTACACTCACCATACGAAACACAGCAGTGTTAAGCTGCTATTTTACGCTGGTATTCCGTGAGAGCATGGTCCTTCCCCGGTCGAGCCGACCCATTCGTGCTACAACTACGAGTATACTACTAATATAGCTGCAGCATAGCTGTACCACATATACGTACATAAGTATTCAATAACAATAAGTATTGGCGGTGAAAGAATATCTACTACCATTCCCCGAATGTGGTAAAAGGCGACAGAGTGAAACCAGAAGCCGTTCTAACAACAACTAGATCTAAAGTAAAAAAACTGCGGTTGCAAACCCGCCTGCCAAAAGTAGAAACTATGGCTGATATAGCCCCCTTATGAGAATATGAGTGGGGACGCCTATAGTTGACTTTAATAGATTGTAATGAGTTAATAAACAATATATGTTTGATCTCAACATACTTACCTAATTTCGGAAACTTAGAATTCGTCAAAATATCGTCATCTACGTAGCGGGACTATGGATTTTTCTCGTTAAGTGACTTCGTAAAATAATTTTTGTAAGATATTATAAGATATAATATAAAAAGAACATTTTAAATATTAATATTCAAGAAGAGAAATGGATTTTTCATAAACTGCAAGCGCATTATCAAAAACTCTTTTCATTGTTATTTCTATTATTTATAAATTTAAATTTTCGGAGAGTTACTTTGTCTAGATAGGTATAACGATTTACACAAAAACCTTGAGGATGCTCGCGTCGCGCAGCGGCTCTCTTTGTGGCGGCCGTGTCAGTAACTTCACAGCTAACGTACGTAATATGTCGGCACGTTTCGGTAGAGTCAGAAGCAAATAACATTTTTACAACTGTTAAATTTAGTAATATATTTGATTAGATACTCTAAAATCCCATTTAAAGCGACCAAAAAAAAATTTCGATATCATAATTTCTATGCCTATGTGTACACCTATACGTCCATGAAATGACCAACGGGGTTTTTGTTATATACTGTATATTGTACAACAATGGAGATAATCTATCCCCTGCATTGTACCTTTGGAGACCTTTTTGGGACCCTGGAGAATAATATTATGCCTTATATACAAAGTTCTATCTGTTAAAAAATTAAATAACCAATGGCAAAGTATGCCTGGTATACCAGTGTCAGAAAGAACTTGAATCAAAATACCAGGATCTACATTATCAAACGCACCTTCCACATCCAGAAAAACACAAACACTGGACTTATTATTATTATTGGCATATTTCAGATCTGACAAGAGAGAGATGAAGCTGTCAGCACAACTTCGCCCTCTCCGGAAGCCATATTGAACATGTGGAATGATGTTGTTCGCCTCTATATAACACTCAAGACGCATCTTTATCATGTTTTCATTAAGCTTTCCAACACAAAGATATGGGACGGTATGAATTAGGATCTTCAGGTGGCTTGTCAAGCTTAAGTAGAGGGATTACACACTATGTTTTCCAAGATTCAGGAATTTTTTTAAGTGCCAAAGAGCATTAAGATTAGCTAATAGTTCCTTATGAACGGACTGATTTAGGTTTTTGATCGAAATGTATGGACAATCGTCTAAACCAGGGATTGTGCTTCGTCTGGATTGTAAACTTGTACAAAACTCACTCCAAGTAAAGGGTTCTATGAGGAAACTGGCCTTCTGAAGACTATTATTAATTTGAAAATAACTTTCTAGATTATCAATAACCCTACATACATTTTGAGATAATTTGTCTAAAAGAGGGACAACAAATTCGTCTTTATATGTTCTATTATTGTTTTTATTCGTTTAAATAACTTGATGTATTTCCAAATAATACTAACAGGTGTAGTTCTGTTAAAAGTATTACAAATGTTCGCCCAACCATTGCGTTTATGTTCTGAAATAGTCTTTTTCTTAACAGCATTAAGTCTTTTGTAATTAATGTAATTATCAATGGTTGGATCTCTTCTGTACAGTTTTAAAGCTTCATAAGTTTTAATAAAACTCTGTTCACATGTGTCACTCCACCAAGGTGCTGGAGGTTTGCAACGATAGTTATTTGCTTTGACAAACTTTGGCACATTATCCCTCCTAAGTGTATCAAGCCTTTCAATAAATTCATCATATGACTGTAATGGATTCTCATTATTAACTTCAAAATTAGAAAAAGCAGTTATAGACAGCTCATTGTATTTCGTCCAGTCTGTCTTGTTGTATAAGAATTTTTCATTGGGAGGATTAATTTGGTATGTATCAACTGACAATAAAACACGAGTAAGCGTAGGAAAATGATAGCTCACCATACAATCATCATGCACCCACCATTCGCATAGTGTAGTCATTGAAGCACTACAAAAGCTGACATCAATAGCCGATGGATTTCGGTTAGGATAATTAATAGTAGTGAAGCTACCATTGTTGAGGACACATAGATCAAATTCATCAATTAAATCGTATAACTGATGACCCCGACTTTTCGTGGTCATACAACCAAATGCCACATGGTGAGCGTTGAAATCTCCAGCCACATATATTGGCTTAGGCAAATCTCTAATTATATCAGGCAGTTTACTTATTCTCAAATTACCATTTGAGGGAGGGCAGTGTACACATAAAATCGTTAATTGTGTACCACTTACATATAACGATAATGTTACAGTCTGAATATTTTGGTAAAATCTGGTTTGAATAATATTATATTTAAAATACTATACACAACTGCTGTATGTTCTGTACCGTACTGTCCATTATTGTGACAGATTTTTTAAAGGTAAGTCTTTAATGAACAGTGTAGTCACAGGTTCATTATCTGTTTTATTACCCAATTCGACTAAAGTTTGGACCATTGCCATCAGAATATTCTTATTGTTTGCAATTTGAGCCTTAAGTTGAGTTTGGTTCAAGTTGGGTTCAGACACTTTTATTTACATTATTTATAATATTTACATTTTTATTTAATCAATCAATAAGCCAAAATGTACATAAACATTTTGGCTTATTGATGGTAGGGTCTTAACAATGATGCTCGACTGTGCAGGTAAAGATTGAAAATCAGATGACTTAATTGTATTAGCCACAGAGGCATAAGTAATTGTATCCTTTTCAAGTATTTTTTTCATTTGCATTGGGCAAGATTTGGAAATGGCCAGGTGAGGACCACTGCAATTGACACAACACAGGTTCTCTTTTTATCGCAGTCTCTGAAATTATGTTCCCCAGCACATATCGAGCAACATTGTTTACTATTACAAATTTTCGCAGAGTGGTTGAACTTGAAGCACCGGTAGCATTGCTGCAACGGCGGGACATATTCAAACACCCTGAACGAAAATAGGTCATACCATGTTAAGCCAAAATTAAAGTTTAAGTCGAAAAATTGTGGAAGAAGTTATAAGTGCCTAGTCCATCCTGTACACAATCATAAATCCAATATCGTGTTAGTCGCCTTTTACAACGTGCTAGTCAAGTTTTACGGTTGGCACATTCTTTTATGCTCAGGCTAACTTCAGGCTCAGAAGGGCTAGATCCCAGAGCCGTAAAGCCAGTTATTAAGAAGAAGAAAGCCAAACAACAACAGAGAGTTTTGTAGGACTGTTACTATTTACTATACTCTTTGGAGTTTTGGCGGGAACTTGACCGGTGACGGATTGCTGCTCCTGTATTATTGTTTAAATCACAGATTACGTTTAAATAGTGGTTTGAAGTGGATTGTCATATGTAAAAGTGGTGCGATTTTGTGTATTAAATATCTGCGCATGTGAACTATTAGTGGAAACGGTGAAACAAGTGCTCTGATGGTGATGTGATTCTCAACATAAGGTGTCTGTCTGCATAGGCGCCTTTAAATACCATCGCCAACTGTCAGCTATTTGCTGGCTCAAGTTTCCGCCAAAATCTCCCAAGGGCTGCACAATGTGATGTATCAACATATTGTGAAGCAGTGTATTATGAAGGATAATTGTAACTTCAGGCTCAGAAGGGCTAGAACCCAGAGCCGTAAAGCCAGTTTTTAAGAAGAAGCCAATAGCCAAACTCCTTGGTTATCTATGTCTATGTTGGTTATAATTTATAAAAAGATCAAAAAGATCATAGATAAATATATATGTAGCAAGCTAAAAAAGATAGATTGATACTGATAGCTGATACTCTGTGAGCCAAACAACAACAAACAACGAGAGACATTAATTTATATTTATTTCGCACTTTTTCAGTTATTAATTTAATTCAGTGTTCTGCCCTCTCTTTAAATTTAGATATTAAAAGATTATTAACATTGGTTTATATTGTACTCAAATTATATAAACAAGATGAGCACTAATCCGTCAGTGCAACCATCTGAAATCATAAAGGTAGGTAATAAATAATTTACAAACAGTGTTTTCGATACTTATTGTACATAAATATATTATGATAAAACAATGAGTTGATTAACACTGCCCTTTTTTAGTAGAGAAGTGCAGTATAATTTTAAGGTAATATCTTTATGATTTCCGAAATTCTTAGTGTTGGAGATAATAGTATTACTCTTTGTCAATCAAGCTTTATAAAAATTGGATCAAAAAATTTTACTTATCACATTAATTTGTTTATTACATAAATTTGTTTGATATGGACATGAATGATTAGTAACAAATATGCTTGCGATGCCTACAGCTGGGAACTGATTGGTGATTGAATAATAATCATCCAATTTTTACTGGAAATAGACATTCCATTTGAGTCTTCAGGGGTTACAACAGATCTGCATTTTGATACTTAACCAAGGATAGAATTAGACGCCCATGTGTCACAGTATCCACTTATCATCAGGTGGACCGTGTGCTCGTTTGTCTCCCTTATCCTATAAAAAAAAACTTATCATTAGATGGACTTTGTGTATGTTTGTCACACTTATTTTTTTTAAATACTAATATTTAAGAGCAGCATTAATGATATAAAGGTGTGGTGCTATGTTCATTAACCCACTTGCTTAGTATATATATTTACAACTTGTTTTGAAATGTATACCAATTGGCTTATTTTTGACAAGGCATTTGTCCTGCAGTGGACATAAAGAGATACAAACTATAAAGGGTTATTTTGCAATAATTGGCCAAATTTGCAGAGAAGGTTCAGAAGAAGTAATATGCCTATATTGTGAATGGTGAAGAAAAATTAATTTAAAAAATCTGAAATATTCTGTCCTTTTTATTTTTTAAATTCAAAATGTGTTGTAGTGCATTATTTTGTTCATTGGTAGGCAAAAAAGTTGTTGCCCATAAATTACATTCATTTTGGGATAATTTCATATAAAAGTAGAAGCCTTATTTACTTGTATTTTCAAAAAATGGTATACCATTATTTATATATTTGAACTTAAGTTTGAAATAACCCTGTATACTTATATGATTACCTTTGACTATCTCGACTATGAGTATCTCGACAGCTGTTTACAGAAGCTGAAAGATAGCTGTTTGCGTGTGAAATTGGGTGACATTAAAGTAAATTGTCTGCTGTATGCTGATGATGCAGTGCTTATTGCACCATCAGAGGCAGAACTGCAGGCATTAGTCACGTGTATGAAAGAGGAATGTGAAATTAAAGGTCTCTGTTTGAATGCTAATAAAACTAAGGTTCTGGTATTTGAAAGGGAAGAAGAGAGAATGAAGTGTGAAATATGGGTAAATCAGGAATGTCTAGAACAGGTAAATGAAATTGTATACTTGGGGAGTGCTTTTAGCAGGGATGGAAGATCTGATTTAGATGTGGACAGGCGTGTCGCTGCCGGGAACAAAGTCAATGGTGCCCTGACTGTGTTAGTCAAAAGGCAAGGCGTAGTGAAGGATGCACGCCTTGCAATACATAACGCAGTGTTGGTACCGACTTTGTTACATGGCAGCGAAACCTGGGTATGCCAGAAGAAGCATAAAAGCAAGTTGAATGCAGTAGAGATGCGATCTCTTCGTAAAATGTGCGGCGTTACCATGGCCGACCGAATGCGAAACAAAGAGATTCGCAATATGGCAGGTTTGAAAGATGACCTTATCACAAAAATGACACTCAATGACCAATCACAAACATGAAGAAAATATATAGCGCAAAAGTTAATATTAAAAGGTGTCGAGGTAGACTGAGACTAACTTTCGAAGACCATGTGAGCAAATTGCTCGAAGAGGGGAGGGTCAAGAGTACTCGGATACCTAGATGTGCATGTATGAAGAAGACAATGAATCTGAAAGAGGGTATGTAAGGATTGTGATACTTGTCAATCTGTTCTCTCTGGCTACCCCATCAGGGATTGTGCGTGAAGATAAGTAAAAAGATGAGACATTTGGAGCAACCTTGTGTTTGAGCATACAGCTTTAGACATAAAATATTTTTGTGTTAAATACTCTAATCACCCTTTAAGTGCATTATTGGATTGAAATTTGAAACATAATATAATACTTTTTTCATTTTTCAATTATCAACTTAATTTAGTATAACTTATTTTAAAATACTACTTATAACTTATTTTGTCCTAGTATGTTATTAAGTTCTCATGGTCTTTATACATACATTTTCTTTTTCTTTTTTTAAAAATGTTACCCCCATACTAGGACTTTATATACACAACCTGCCACTCAGACAATGGATATATGAAAAATTTAGAAAGAAGTGATAGGTAATTAGCCCATTGCTTACACTATCACAAACCTAATATACACAGTTGGCACGTTCTTTTTTGTTATAAGGCCCTTATAAACATGAGACCTTTAAGCCCCAGACCAACATGGTACGAGTCATGGTCTTTGATAGATTGGTTATATAACCATGTGTTGTATAATCTTGAAGTAAATTACCTAGATCAAAATAGAGAGCTAAAACATTTTTTTTTTTTTTTTTTTTTATAGGAGAGGGGGCAAACGAGCATGCGGCTCACCTGATGGTAAGTGACTACCGCCGCCCATGAACAACCGCAACACCAGGGGAATTGCAGATGCGTTGCCGGCCTTTTAAAAAGGAGTAGGCTCTTTTCTTGAAGGTCCTTAAGTCGTATCGGTCCGGAAAAATCCCTGGTGGTAAACTATTCCACAAGGAAGTTGTGCGAGGAAGAAAACATCTTCTAAATCGCACAGTGGTGGACCGCCAATCATCCAGATGGTGTGGATGGTATCGGGAGTTCTGCCGCGATGTGCGTTCGTGAAATTTGGCGGCTGGGATTAATCCGAACAATTCCTCAGAGCACTCCCCATGGTAGATGCGAAAGAAAATGCAAAGAGATGCAACATCTCTTCGCAGTGCCAATGAATCGAGCCGATCGGAAAGGGCTCGGTCGTCGACGATTCGAGCCGCTCTGCGCTGGATGCGGTCAAGTGGAAGGAGCTGGCACTGGGGAGCCCCTGCCCAGAGATGGGAACAGTATTCCATGTGAGGCCGAACCTGCGCCTTGTAAAGTTGCAGGCGGTGTGCCGGCATGAAATACTGTCCCGCTCTGCTGAGCACGCCAAGCTTTTTAGAGGCCAATTTGGCCTTCTCTTCCAAGTGACCACGAAACTGCACGTCACTCGATATGTCGACTCCGAGGATACCGATACTGGCTGAGGCAAGAAGGGGAGTGCCTTGAAACTGAGGAGATACGACAAAGGGGTTCTTTTTAGCGGTAAACGCGCAAACTTGTGTCTTCTGAGGATTAAACTGGACTAGATTTAGTCGCCCCCAATCCGAGACTTTGTCCAGCAAAGACTCGACTTCAGACACAAGTTTGTTCCGGTACTCGGCGACGTTTTCCCGAGAAATATTGGCCCGGCCGGTGTATAGAGCATCACCAGTGCTGTCATCCGCATAGCAATGAATGTTACCAGTTAGCAACATATCATTGATATGCAGAAGAAACAGCGTTGGTGATAGCACACAGCCTTGTGGAACACCAGCGTTAATAGGCTTGTAGTCAGAACATGCACCGTCTACAACGACCTTGATGCTCCGATCTGCAAGAAAGCTGGTGATCCAATTGCACAATTTCTCGGGAAGCCCATAGGAAGGCAGCTTCGAAAGAAGCGCTTTGTGCCAAACCCGATCAAAGGCCTTCGCAATGTCCAGACTAACGGCCAACGCCTCCCCCTTGGACTCTACTGCCTTCGCCCATCTATGGGTCAGGTAGACCAGAAGATCACCAGCTGATCGACCCCGACGAAAACCGTATTGGCGGTCACTAATCAGCTGGTGATCCTCAAGGTACCGGATGAGCTGGCAGTTAATAATGGATTCCATTATTTTGGAGAACAAGGAGGTGATCGCGATAGGCCTATAGTTGGACGGGTCTGAGCGGTCGCCTTTTTTAGGGATCGGGTGGACAAAAGCTGTCTTCCATGAATTCGGGACTACGCCTTGGGAGTAGGAGTACCGGAAAAGACGCGTTAGGACCGGTGCCAACTCCGGAGCACACGTCCTCAGCACAATTGGGGGGATTCCGTCAGGCCCACTCGACTTCTGGATGTCCAGGGAGAGAAGTGCTTTGCGAACTGAGCGCTGTGAGAATAGCACATCCGGCATGGAGCACTCACACCGCGGGATGGTCGGCGGTATTTTCCCCCCGTCATCAAGAGTCGAGTTGGACGCAAAAAGGGAGCCTAAAAGGTCGGCTTTGTCTTTTGCGTCTTGGGCCAGTGAGTCGTCCTCCCTGTGCAGAGATGGTAGTGATGGCTTACAGAAATTCCCTTGGACAGCCTTGGCGAGAGACCAGAATGCACGGGTTCCCGAAGGAAGGCGAACTAGTTTCTCGCCAATTCTGCCTATGTGCTCTGACTTTGCCTTGGCAATAACTCTTTTGAAGGACCTGGAGGCGAAGTTATACTTCTTTTTAAGTGTGCTGGTGTTTACATCCCGAGTCACCGAAGCCGCAGCCCAGGCTTGATAACACTCCTGCTTACTGCGCAATGCAGTCTTACAGGAGCGACCAAACCAAGGCTGAGATCTGCCTCCGATGGGTACCACAGATGATGGAATAAATAGTTCCATTCCCTGTAGCACCACATCAGTGACAGAGTCAGCAACAGCACTGGGATCATCCGGCGAGAAGCAAACCCGCCCCCATGGGTAGGATGCAAAGAAAGACCGCATTCCGTCCCAATCCGCCGACCTGTAATGCCAAACACGGCGGCAACCTGCAGAACGCAACCGCGAAGGGAGCGTGAGTGGCACCATACTCCGGATCAGACAATGGTCCGAAGAGCCGAGAGGGGCATCGACGGAAACCTGATATCCGTCCGGATGAGAGGTCAGCAGAAGGTCCAACAGGGAAGGTGTATGATCCTCCACATCTGGAATCCGCGTAGGCGAAGTAACCAGTTGTGTCAGACCATATGCCAAGGCAAAGTCATAAACAGATCTCCCCGCATGATCGGTTAAACGTGAACCGAGCCATTCGGCATGGTGGGCGTTAAAATCGCCAAGGATCACGATCTCTGCGGATGGGACCTGTTGTAGCAAGGAATCTGTAGCCATTTGGACGTGGTCGATGAGTCGGTCTGTTTCGGCATTACCGCTATGGGACCTATAGAGGCACCCGTAGACGCGCGGATGGTCGTCGCTGTCTACGCGTAGCCAAAGGATGGACAGGTCCGAACCTTCAAGACTGCCGAGGCGTCGAGAACAGATGTCCTCTCTAACATACACGCAAACTCCAGCCCGAGGCACAAAGGAGTGCTCCAATTTGTACCCCGGGTAGGAGAGATACGAAATATCAGTCGGAGAGGAAACCTGCGTCTCGGTCAAAAAGAGCAAGGCCGGCTTCGCCGTCTCGAGATGGTAGTGGACGGCGTTTAGGTTAGAGTGAAGTCCCCTGATGTTGCAGAAATTCACGGATAGCGTAGCAGGGGTCGCCTTGGTATTGTTGCTCAGCTTGCCCCGAGCAGTTTTGTTTTTGAGCGGAATTTTGCCCCCCCCCAGAATACGCGGGGCAGCCTGAGCACCCACGCTCAGGATTGGAATAACATGGTCGTGGATGCTCAGCGAGGGATTCTCCAGGGGTACTGGTACCCTCCTGGGGTAGTCTATTGTCTAATTCCGCTACCATGTTGATGGGGGGGGGGGGGGGGGGGGGAATTGGGCCTCCGGCCACCTGCACTCACCAGACGAAACGCAGAAGCAGAGCCTCTACTTCACGCCGGTATTCTGTGAGGTCGTGGTACCAACCCGGCTCGAGCCGGCCCATACGTGCAACAGCAAAAAACTGCTGCAGGGCTCTACCACCGTTGCTGCAGGGCTCTACCACCGTTAAAATATCCAGTACTACTGTACCCTATGAACATACCAAGGGTAGTGCTTATGGTACATCTCAAGATGGTGGAGATCCATACCCAGCACCAGACTATTTGATAAAGTAAAGTGGACATAAATCTTGTTTTACGGTTATAGGCTGTAACTTTTATAACTTTTAATCAAAAATACATTTGCGTATTTTGTATATTTTTCAGGATAATGGAGAAATTGATGGTAAAATAAGGTTAAGAAAATGGTTAAATATGAACTTCAGAATAGAAATGACTGATGGCAGAGTACTTATAGGTGTATTTCTCTGTACGGATAGAGATGCTAATGTAATTTTAGGTAAGTGCACTAGTTAAAAAGATATTCCTAGTGAATGTAATTGACAATATTGCATACTTAAAACTATAATATAATTTATTAGTTATTTATAATAAGTAAAATAAATATGTGTTGCATTAGTATCCAGCAGCACGAGGAGGGCAACTGAGTATTTTTATTTATTATGCACTGGAATTTATATCATGCTGTGTGAAAAGTGTGAAGGAAAACCCACCTGTCATGAGAAGACCAAGCCCCCACTTACACTGACTAAAAGGCCATGGTGCTCCACCTCACATATTGGCAGAGCCTGTGAATTTTCATTAGAATATCCATAATTTCCATGTTACATTAATGTGACCCATTACATTAACATTGTATTGTATTGTATATATATATATATATATATATATATATATATATATATATATATATTGTAACAGAAGGACAGCTGTTACAATCTATATTGTTTTATCATAATTTCTGGTTTTTTTTTAGTAGACAAGAAATAGGTTTCTTGTTTAACCCCAGTTAATTTATTTTTTTAAACTACATACTTCAGAAATAGTGCCACAATATGCTTAAGTCTACCCAAAAATATAGAAGCAAAATATAAATATATCTTATGGCATCCGCTGCGTTAAGCAGCGCATCCAATACTATTTGACCGTGCATGTGTACATAATGTATTATCATTTAATTTGTTATTGATGGGCATCCCAATCATTCGAATTTATTTGTCAAATCCCATGTTAGGTATATAAATATTATCTCAATTTCAAAGTATTGAAGAGACATAATAGTTTAAATTTAATTTAAATTAATAAATAAATCTTTTAATTTTTATCTAAATAAAACAGTAATAACTAATAATAATGCCAACACATAACACTTTCCTTTCATTGTGAACATGAACATCATTATGAACTAATAATCGGCCCGTAATATGAGATACAGCATATTAATTCTATAAAGTCACAGAATTAATCAATAATAAGTTATTCTAAACCTCTGCTCTAAACTGATATTTTAAATCACGTGTACTTTCACGGCGCGTCCAGCCTGCATTACGCGCCAGCATTCATATAATTCGGTATGTAAATTGTTTTAAGTTGTCGATTTCTAATTTTTGTTTTACACATAAGGTTATTATGACATACTAGCTGTTCCTCGCGACTTCACCCGCTTATAATTTAGGGTTTTAATTTTTTTTCCTAAGAAGAAAGAAGAGCCCTAATTATTTTTCTAAAATAAAAGTAGTAAAACAAAACTGAGAAATTGACTTTTGACCATTTGACAATTTCTCAATTATAACAATATTGGTTTTTAAATTACTACATAGATAATGGTCTCACTTCATTCATCTATTTTATGACGTCATTTGGAGGTAAAATTAAAGTCAATTTATTTCAAGCATTTTTGATAATATAAATGTCATCCCTTATTTTTAAAACATCTAACTAGCAAAATAGGTTTTATAAATGATCAACCTTGGAACAGTTTCAAAATGAATGGCTTATAAATTATTTTTACATACCGAATTGTATGAAACAAGATCGCGTGCGAGATTACGAGCCAGGTAGCCGTTGAACGGACTCGTTGCACGCATAGTGTATAGAGGGCAGCCCACCAAGTCCACCACGACGTAGCGGTGCTCTTGAGTTTTGAAGAATTAGATACGCGCGCCCTAATGCCTTTCATCGTGTTTAAAATTTTAATTTGTTAATTGTGTCAACATTTTATACCATTAGCAGTATATTTCAGGAGCTTGTTCTGAATACCTCAAAAATAATGATGGTGAAACTGAAGAACCCCGTGTGTTGGGTCTTGTCATGGTGCCTGGACGCCACATTGTTTCTATAAAAATAGATGATACAATGGATTCAACTACTTCACAAAAGTACTATTATGAATAATAACATTATTGCACAGCACTTTATAATTATGTTCTAATTTAAATATATAATAAATAGGTAAGTAAATTATAAACAATTTTTTTAATTATAATTTTTATTATGAACCTTTCTTCAAATTTGCAATTAAGTATTGTATAACAGTAACTTCTTGATAAATATTTTTAGATTCATTTGTAAATGGATTAAATGTATCCATGTTGTGCGAAGTTAAAGACTGTAATGAATTTAACAAACCATCAGAAATAGAATTTATGCCACGGCTGGGATCAGAAAAAAAAGTACTTAAAAATGCACTGTCTAAAATACTGCGTAAACAAATATATGGATGTACAAGTGACGACGTTTTACAGAAATTCTTGTAAAAATATACACTCAAATTTCTTACATCTTCATTTTCATCTTGCAATAAAATAACCGCTGTTATAATAGAAACTGTTTTTATGTCATCAGGTAATTTCATTAATTTATGAGCAATTTCGTTATTTGCCTTAGCAGCAATAATTCTCATTTCTATGTCTGACTCTTCAGCGTTACACAATTTATGAATGATTTTACTCAGTGCTAATAAGATATCTTCCTCAAATGTTATTCTAGCTACAAATGGAATTATATATCTTAATTTATAGGATATATTATCTTTTAAATATTTAGTGATGTCTTTAATATCTATATTATTATCGAGGTTAGTTATCAAGGATATTTTATAAAGAATCTCCCAAATAATACTACTTGACATTTTCTTTGGAAATGCTAGTAAGATATGGGTTATTTTGATCAATACTACACTATCAACGTCACGTTGAGAGTCAATTTTTGAACACAATATTTCACAATGTTTTTCATATTCACTGCTATCCAAAATTAAGCTCAACCAGTGTGGTATTTCTGCCCATTCGCAATTAAGCAAACATTTACGAATATGTGTGTTAGCCCATTGAAATTTCCCAGGCTCATTTGAATGGTTTTTAATTTCCGATAAAATTTCTACCAAGTTATATGTTTCATTACATATATTCTCTAATAACTCCCTGCATAGATAAGAATGCATTTGTGAGCCTAATATAGTCCTAAATTTAATTTTTAAAATATCAAGTTTGCTTTGGTATGTAGTATTTTTGTAATGGTTGTAGCATTTCACCAATAGTAAAAGATAACCATGAAGATAATTTTCATTAACTTGCTTAACTTTTTCCAATATTTCAAAAATATTATCAAAGGAATACATATTAAAAATACTATTTGCAGTAATTCGTCGTACAGTGAATATAGGACTTCCTAGTAACACAACAAGACTATTTAATAAACCATCTGCATCAATTTCATTTTCAAAATTATTGAAAAAGTTGTACCTTATTGCTAAATTACCTAGAATATTTAATATAGGCAGAAAATTAGAATGTGACTGTAATACATCCTTTTTTTGATCGCCTTTTAATTGAGCCAATATAAATCTCCATAGTTGGGGAAAGTGTGTCCGAAACTCGTCACATGCTACAGTGGCAGCAACTTCGTCTTCAGAACCAGAAGCTTTCTTCTGGCCTATTAGTTTTGGGATTAAAGCACCATACAGTTGCAGGGCTGCATTTCTAAAAAGACATTTGAAAAAGTAAAATTACCCCAACATGAACATGACTACAAAGTATTCTTTTTTTTTTAATTTTTAACATATTATACATATTACATTCCAAAACAGGCGGAATATCTAAAAAAATCTGACAACACAGAACATGAAAAGAGGAAGGAATGGCGTGGCGCGCTTCTCTTTTAATAAGTACTTGAGTTTGGTTTTCAGTGGGGTGCTGAAAACCAGAACTCCAATGAGCTCAATATTTTTTCCAATAAACAAATTAGGGTTAAGCATCTTTTTATAAGGGATACTCCAGCACAAATCGTGCATGTGTCGCATGGTTTACCTTCATGGATTTTTGTTGAGTCGAGAAAATTTGATGTAATTGAAAAAGATATGGAACCAACATATTGGGAAAAAATATCAATTTAATTACTAATTACACAAAATTACTTTTTAATGTAAATATATTCGGAGTGGATTTTTTTCCTCATATGACATTACTCAATAGAGCAGTTATGTAAAAGGTGTTGACTACAAAGTATTTTACTAAGCAGTGATGTGTAAGAATACCATCAGGTGTCACTGCTGTCAAATTTATATTTATTATAAATGTACAGAATTGATTTATATAATAAAATATTGTTGTTCAATTATTGTTGGATGCCGTGCCAATATCACACATTATAATCTAAACCATGTCAACAACTTATCTTGATACAAAACTAACGTAAATGATAATTTATAAAGATTCAATTGAACTACATTACTTTTCGTTTCAACACTGAGGCTTCAATACTAATTACTGTGAATAAATTACGTGTGGTGTTTTAATTGCTTCAGTAGATGTAGTTTGGCGCTGTGCGTTCGAATGTGTGCGTGTCTTTGTTGTGTGAGTAAATGGCAACATCGGTACCTATACAAACAAAAGAAAATTTTTAACATGCAACACCTAGTTTGTATAGGTACAAACTAGGTGTTGCATGTATAAAAATTTTCTTTTTCTGTGTTATGAAATTCTACACACATTAAAATATTTTATTAGATACAAACATAAAAATATTGAAGCTATCAAATATTTTAAGTTTGTTATGCGGTAGAGCCACGCTGCAGGGTATTATAGCTGCAACAGAGTCAACTCGACCGAAGAACCATGCTCGTACAAGATACAAAAGCGAAATAGTATCCGTATTCATATAGTAAATAACGAGATCTGGAAAATGGTTCTGGTAAATAGTAATTAGTCCCCTATTTCATTCCATTTTAGTCTTCAAAGGTTACAACGCATTTTCATTCTGATTCTCTTAATTGAGGATATATAGCCGCAACATCCACTTACCTGGAAATCCATTAACCTAGGATCATCAATAACTGAATGATGATGAAATTTAATATCTATAGATTTAACACATGTATTTTCAGCGATGTTCGATTGTGTATTTTAGTTAAAAAGGTAAATGTCAAAAAGATTAAAAGATTTTAAATTTCTTCAAGATCTATTTTTCAATTAACCTTCGAATGCTGTTAAAATAAATGAATGTTTTCACTGTGAAATAATACTGCAAATATCATTGGGCTACACTACCATTATATATATATATATATATATATATATATATATATATATATATATATATATATATATATATATATACTATACTATACTACACTACCATAATATACCCTGGGGTATTCACATTAAAATAAAATATTATCTAAATTAAACAAGTGATAAAATTAAAAATTTTGTACAACCGACTTCTATATAAATCAATGATCAATGTAATCGAAGTCTATTAATTAATACGCATTATTGAGGATAATTCAAAACTACTGGTCAGATCGTGACCAAATTTATATGGTCCACATTATGGGACCACACAAGAAGCACCAGCTTTCAAATAAAAAAAGCATCTTAATCAGTTCTCCTAGAAAAATGTTCTGAAGTAACACACATCAAAAGTTTATGAAGTCAGTTAAAAACGAGTAATATAATTTTGATATGCTTATTATCAAATTCATATTTATTTTATCTACTAATCTGGTCTTTTATTCAATTTTTTTGACCTAGTTTAGCTTTTGCTGTAGTTAGTTATCTTTTATACACCATTTCTTTATAATATGTCCAGATGAATAAATCCGCGGGATTAAAAATTAGCAGACTAAAGATCAAACTATAAACCATCACATTAAGTAGCATGGCGCTTCATCATAGTGAAAATACGAGGCCTGCATGTTATATATTAAGAACTCTCAAAATGACTTCCAAAAAACATGTCAGGCAAGCTACGAGGGTGGATTGAAAAGTACTCGGCCTAACACAGATCCATTCAATTCTAAAAATCGAATCTATCCACATTATTTAGTTCAGTTCAGACTAGTTCATTGTGTGAAGTTCGAAACGTGTGCGATAATTAGTTGTGATTTTATAAATTTATTAACAAAGTAATCGGACATAATTTCCGCGAATGGAGCAAATCGAGCAGCGTGCCGTCATTAAGTACCCCCATAAGAAGGGGCTATCATCAAAAGCCATCCATGATGACATGGTCAGTACATTAGGCGATTGTGCTCTGTCATATTCATCCGTCAAAAAATGGATAGTAGAATTTAAGCGTGGTAGAGAGAGTGTGAAAGATGAACCCCGCTCTGGAAGGCCTTCGACGTCAACTACTGACGAAAATATTAAAAAAGTACTTGATTTAATAATGGGAGACCGCAGATTAAAAATTAGAGAGATAGCCGAGATTATAGGCATCTCTTATGAACGAACTCAAAACATCATTGTCAACGAGTTGGGTTTCCACAAGGTGTCTGCGAGGTGGGTTCCGCGACTGCTTTCAGTTGAACAAAAAAGGACGCGATTGACTATTTCACGCGACTGTTTGGAGTTATTTGAAGCTGATGCAGATGATTTTTTGAATCGTTTTCTTACTATGGACGAAACATGGGTTCATTACTGTACACCAGAAACAAAACAACAATCAAAACAGTGGAGAAGACCTGGTTCACCACCCCCTAAAAAGGCTAAGTCGATTTTGTCGGCAAATAAGGTGATGGCTTCAGTATTCTGGGACTCGAAAGGTGTGATTATGATTGATTATCTTGAAAGGGGTCAGAATATAAACCCTGATTACTACTGCACCTTACTACGTCGTTTACGAGAGGAAATAAAAGAAAAACGTCGAGGAATGCTCAGAAGAAAAGTCCTGTTTCATCAAGATAACGTCCGTGTTCACACGTCAGTACAGTCAATGGCTGAAATTCACAACTGTGGCTTTGAACTGTTACCGCATCCACCGTATTCACCTGATCTGGCACCATCAGACTTCTTTCTGTTCCCTAACCTAAAAAAGCACTTGGGAGGTCAAAGATTTTCGACAAACGACGAGGTCAAAGCAGCTGTAGACGCATATTTTGACTCTTAAGGAAGAATCATTTTTTTTCAACGGTCTAAATGCTTGGAAGGGGAGGTGGCAAAAGTGTATTGAACTTGATGGTGATTATGTAGAAAAATAAAAATATAACTGATTTAGTATTTGTTTATTTTCTTGGTTAGGCCGAGTACTTTTCAATCCACCCTCGTATTTTCTAAAAATTAATAAATATTATGCGTCTTTGCTTAATCTGCCTGGTTACTCGAATTGTTTCATCGTTTAAATCGTTAAAATTCAAATAGTTATCGTACACTCCTGTACTTATATTAAATCTATACGAGAGCAATACTGAAAATTTCTAGAACTGGCCACTTGTAAACGATATAATAAAAAAAATAAGTTCAAATTTTGAAAATGGAACTTTTTGCCAATATCATTGTGCATGTATTTTATTAATTTGTAATTTGTTTACGATTTGGCTGCAAATTGAAAATTGTATGTGTCACGTCAGCATGAATTAACGCGAGAAAATTTTCGTACAATGACTTTTATGACAGAAAATTTTCGTACAATGATTTTTATCACTTTCGATGTCATTTAAGTCAACAAGAAAGTTATATAGACTTCGATTGGCCTTTCACGATGAAGCCCCATCTCGTGCCACTGTTTAAAACTGGTTTAATGACTTTAAACGTGGTCGCACTAATCTCACCGATGATCTGCGTGAGGGACTGCCTTCTACGGCGACGACTGAAGGTAACATCAGTGTTTTGCGGCGTACGATAGAGACTGACAAAAGAGTTACTTATCAGCAGATTCGGACAAGCTTAGGCATCGGTATGAGTCAAGTGCACAAAATCCTTCATGAACATTTAGCGGTCAGGAAGCTTTGTGTCCGGTGGTACCTCATAATTTGACAGAGGCCGAAAAACGTGAAATGGTTCAAAGATTTAACGGATGTGACTCAAATGCTGTGTTCGACATATTATTTACGAGTGACGAAAGCTGGATTTATCGTTATGATCCTGAAAATAAGAGACAGTCTGCTGTCTGGGTGTTTCCTTCCTAGGAGTTGCCAACTAAAGTGAAGAGAGGTCGAAGCGTGGGCAAAAGACTCGTTCTTCGAAAGGACAGGTCATTACGCAACAATTTTTTTAGAGGATCAAAATAAAGTTACTGCAGAGTGGTACACTAACAAGTTTTTGCCATTTCTCTCGGAAAAAGTTCGCGTGAAACGACCTCGCAGTAGGATCCTCCTTCACCACTACGACGCCTCGTCGCACACCGCCAAGCAAACAATCGACTACTTGGCGACGTCAGACGTGGAATTACTGGACCCACCCTATAACCCCGACCTCGCACCTTGCGGTTTTTATTTATTTCCGAAAATAAAAGAAAAACTTCGAGGAAAACGTTTTATGAACGCCGAGGAAGCAGTGTCTGCGTTTCATAATCTGTCAAAGAGACCCCTAAGGACGAGTGGGCTAAGTGCTTTTCTCAGTGGTTCCATCAGATGCAGCGATGTATTGATATAAATGAACACTATTTTGAAAAGATAAAATAAAACTAATAATTTGCTAGTTTGTTCAGTTTTTGATTTTTTAAGAACTTTCAGTGTCACCCTCGTACTGTTATCCCAAACTTCCGAAATTCTTCACTGCTGCATTATAAATGTTTTCAAGCTACTGGCCTAGAAAGGATACGCGGTATCAACTCGACCTCATTAATTGGGTACACTGAAAGTTTGCGTTACTATAAAGGACGCATTTACTTGCACTTTCTTTCCAGGTATCATGTATTGCACTTAATTGTTCAAGTACATTTTAATCAAATACATTTTAATATGATAGCCGAGACAAATAAATTTTGCAGACATTTAAAATCTCAGTTTACGCAAATAGTTTCCAAGTTGTAGAAAAAAAAAACCATATGATTTATGTTTCACTAAAAAGTTGATGAAACATAAATTTTTAATATAATAAAGATTTTTTGTATTGATTTTTATACAGCCATGACTTAAAATGGTATTCTTAGTACTAGTTTGAGAAAGATCACGGTCACAGACTCTTAACAATTTGGCTACTGTAGCAAATATCAGTCTAAAATCTGCTTCTCACTTAAATACCACAAAATTCAAAATAACTTTTAAATCCAACACATGCGCGTAAAAGCAGGTATTTCTTGAGGTCCCCATCACTAAACAATCTAATTACAAGCAAGACTACTATAAACAAATAATATTTTACCTTATTTGCCAATGTGAACTTGTAAGGTTGTCAAATGCAAGTTCAGCTAATTTTGCTGAATAGTACATTACTTCTGTTGTTAAACTGCTGTCTGTGACTATCCTTGTTAAAAAATGAATGTATATTGCTTTTGGTAAATCTTTTTCATTGTTAACATTTGAAATATTTTCGAAATATATTGAGTCATCCTGTATTACCTTGCAAGTTTCTAGTAAAGTATTGACAAAATAATGAAATAAAGGCTGAAAGGGAAAACAAATAATTCTTTATATAAAGTTTAGAAATATGCACTCATATAGATATTATTTTTATACATACTTTATTCTTTTTCTTATCATTGCTTACAATGCTATGAACCATTATAGATAAACCTGCACCCCTTCTTGTCACAGAGGCCATATTGTTTGCTTCCAAAAGTAATTCATTTAGCTTTTGTTTTAATAAAGATAAGGGTAATTCAGAAAGCTGATATTCCGATGGTAAAGATGTTAAGTTTTGTATAGCTTCCCCTGTAATAAAACAATTTTTTATGAATCAATATGTATAAGTATAAAATTTGACCCACGTTTATGTCGGACCTAATGAGATATTAGGCAGATGATTGTGTAGGCGATAAGCAAGCAACCTAACACTTAGTTCACAATTTTCGATCTGTACCCAATTTTTTTTGGCTAAACGATCAAAGTAGCTAGCTTCTCTGGACTCGGCCTACCCTTTCGAGATAACAGGTGTGACGTTGTCAAATTTCAAAAACTTATCATAACTTCAATTTTCTACCGACTTGAAAAAGGAGGAGGTACTTAATTAGACTGTATTTTTGTTAATTTTTTTTATGTTACCTCATAACTTTTTTTCTAGGTGAACCGATTTTGATGATTATTTTTTATTTGAAAGCTGGTGCTTCTCACGTGGTCCTATACATATATAGAGGTCTGACCAGTAGTTTTTGAGCTATATTTAATAATTTATATTGAAGTTGGTTGCACAAAAATCTTGATTTTATCACTTGTTATATGATAATTTGTTAATCCAGTATGTTATACTCACAGAAGTACTTTTATTATTTATGTTAACAAAATGATCATAATGCTAAAATAGATATAGGTAATGAATTGTTTGCTAATGGAAACTAGCGAGTTAAAAGTACATACTGATTATGTACAAGCATAGTATAAAAATTATGTATTGAAGAAAAACATTAAAAACATGTGCGCTAATAACATCGATCACTAATAAAAAACTAGCTCAATCCCATGCAAAAGTTCTCTAAAAACTGTCGCCAACTGTTTTAACGTAATTATAGTTGAAATAAATATACATAATGTAAATTCAACCTTAAATGCATTGCCTAAAGTTGTATTCACAAAGCTACGTACAAAAAGCAATATTTTTTTATGACCGATACTCGCGGATCAACCTATATCAAAACAAATTCAACCTTACACGCATGTTTTAAAGTCAGAATTACAAAGTGCCGATAAAAAGCAATTAAATTTTATGACCGAGGCTCGTCACTTGGACAAGGAATTACTTTTATTACGACTTAATTTAAAAAATGTTTTTACGATGATTTCTTGACAAAATATCAGTATTTACAATACAATAATAACAATTATATAATGATAATATTAATACTTAACGAAAATATGAAATTCCATCCTTTTTTATCATCTTAGATGTGTGATTTTTACACTTCTTTTTAAACGAGCACTGAGGCATGTTTACCGTCGGAACATTCGAACGCTACTAGATTAAAAGCGCACCCAAATGTTCGAGTGGGCACTCATTCGGTAAGGACATTTTTGGTCACTGCACAATATGTGACAAAATGCCCTTATTGTGCAGTCTAGTTTTTTATTAGTGATCGATGGCTAATAAGCACCTTTTAAATAAACATAAGTACCCATAATATAAATAATTAATATATTATCATAAAATATTTCTATGATTTATTCTATTTGAATAAAAAAAAACTAAAAACTTAAATTATAATACAGTCCTAGGAATGGTGCAAAGAACGCTGGCAGCGTTTCCTTGCTGAATGGCTATACTTAGCCTTTGAGCGAAAAAAAAACCAGCTATCACAAGCAGCGACAACCAGTCGCAGATGCAGTTCCTTTAGGAACTTCACCGCACGTGAACTCCATGGACCGATAGTCTCTATAGCAAATGGTATAAATGTGTAGTCATTTCTCAGACTCATAATTGCGCCACTTATTTAATTTAGCTGCCTCTGATGCCGCCCCTGTACATAATTATACGTACCCTGTGTGTAACCCTGAGATGAGGCTGTCAGTGTCTACGCAAGTAGCATCCTTCTTTACCTTTACCTCTCCCAAAGGACTAATGTCATACCATTTGGTCACCTGCTATCGTCTCTAAATATTCCACAAGGCTCTAAAATTAATAATTATTTGTAATAGATAATAAATGAAATGAAGTTTAACCCACCAAGAGCCACACCAGCTGCCTCTATCGCTCCTTTATGGCGAGATGTTTCAAGAACTTTTGTAATCACATGCAGGGATTTTTCACAAATAGCCAGATGCATATCACTGTTGTGATATTTAAGAATCAATGATGCCAGTTGACAAGATGCCTAAACAAATAAGACGAATAAAAATTTCTTACACAATAAACTAAAAAAAAGTAATAAAACTTGTATATACCTTAACATTTAACCATAAACAATTTAACACAATTTGTTGTAAACCAGTTATCTTTGTTTCATCTTCATTATTAATTGTTGTGTAACCTGACTTTTCTATTATATGTTGAACCATGTCATTCATTTTTGAAAAGTCTGAACTTGTTGTAATACCTTTTTCCCAAACAAATTGGCTCGATGTGCTTTCTAAAATCTCTAGTAATGTCCATATAGTATCTTTCTCAATTTGCAACTTATATGAATCTTTGAGACATGCTTCAAAAATAACACATAAAACAGATATATTTGAATGCAGCTGTTTTCCTTCTTTAATTGATTCCATAATGTCTCTATTTAACTTATATTCGGTCTTTAGCATAGTGTAAGCAAAATTGAAAATTTCATCTATGTTTCTAAACAAAACACTTTCTAAATTATGTTCCTTTAATAGGACATTAGTTATTAACTTGAACATGCTTTGTCCACAATTTATTTCATAGAAAAATTTGCTTTTAATGTTTAACAATGCAGTGTTTATAATATGATTCATAATAATTAGTTTCTTCAATTCTTTATTATAATGATGTAATAATAAATGTATTACATTTTCTCTTATATCATCTGCAGGATCACTTAAAAGCCTTATCAAATTCTCAACCACTTTTTCACTAAAAAGAACGCAATTATTACCATCAGTTAAAAGTCTTATTAATGTATAATTTGTCTGTTTCATTTGTTTTTGTCTCTTTTTTGGTATTACAGTAAAACAGTTAAAAATCGTAAGAACTATTTTAATGGTTGTAATTTTACGTTGGTAATTTCCATTTAAATTTAATGAAGTTATTAAAAATTCTTGCAACTTTGTGCAAAAAGCAACTAAGTTATCTACATTCTGGTCCATGTTTCTATTGTTCATGAACATTGCCTGCAAACGTTCTAGAAAACTGTTAAAGCTGTTAAGCATAAAAAGTCTCAACACTGTGCAATCAGAATTGACATTGTCTGCTAAAAAATTTAAAACTATTGTATACTCCTTTTTGCTTGGCCACGAATTACCATGTGTAACACAAACAATATCAAAGGCAGACATTCTTATATACGGATTGCAATGTTCTATACCACAAATTACTAACTGTTCAATATCTGTCATTTGACTCCAATCTTTAACAATCAGATTAAGCTTATTACTTTGCCTTATTAAACATAAAGTACCAAACATTTTCTTTTCTAAATTTTCACATTTTTGTAATTCATTTATTATTAAAGTACTCAATGTTGGGAATTTTTTTAATGTTGTAAGACACCAGTAATTATTCAAGTTTTCAATTGCTTTTTGTGATGTGCAATTTAAAATTTGTATAATGCTGTTTAAAAATAACTCACTCCATTCTTCATGTGAATTAATTTTTTTCAGTAATGAATAATACATATCAGCTCCAGCTGACACCAATCCAGGTTTATGTAAACTGTGTAGCAGACCATCAACTAAATTGAATCTTTTCATTAGTATTACTACATTATCTGTGTATTGCTCTATAATCTCAGACAACATCAAATACTTAGCCTTATTCCAGCAAAAGGAATTAATTTCTCTAAAAATTTCTTCATAAATATCAACATCCATCACCGAAATAATAGTTTGAAAAACAGATCTATTCAAGTTCCGTATTCCATTAATAGGGTTTTCCCAATTGTGATTTACCACATTCAATAATTTCAACTGATTTTGTTTTGTGAATACTATATCCTGTAAACTTGTTCCACATACTTTTTTAAGCAAAACTATAATTTTAAAAGTTATAAATGTGTAATGTGAATATTCATAAGCCATCTGAATAAGCAAATTAAAAACAGAATTCAAAATGTCTTCTAAAACAGCTTCATTTTCTTTGTCTTTTTGTGAAAGAAAAGAGGACTGAAACATTCCATAAATAATAGATATAGTTCTCATAATTGTACTGTTTTCTTTATTTGGTTCATTCCTCTTATTTAGCTCTTCATTTATATTTTGTAGTACTAACTTTAGGAAGTGTTCCTGCTTTTCAACATTGCTAAGAATTATATAAAAACATGTTGAACAAAGCAATTGATCATCCAATTCCCTTAATTCTGATTGTAGGTGACCCCACAAAGCCTGCAATAATTTATCATACAATAACAAATAGTCATCAGTCCTCTCTGTTTGTATGTTTATCTTCTTTATTTTTATCAACACCTCCTGTAATTAGAATAACATGCACAATTAAATTTTAATGTATAACAATTATTAATAAAGTAGGCTGGTTATTGGGTTTGTAAATAAGATGTAACAATGTCTTCTCTAAAGGCTGAATTCACCTGCATGCAATTTTTGTTAATTAACAAATAAGAGATTTGGTATCTGAATTACAGTGGTTCATTCCTTGAAAATCATTAGAGCTGTTATTACCCTGGGTGCAAAGCTATTGATTCCTATAACATGTAGTGAGTATTAGACTTATCCCTTTTAACTTATACAGACTAGTTGACACACTATTGAATGCCAGCAGTGGATTTATAAAGGCTATAATTTTCTTTTAACAGAGAGGAACATGGTATTAGTTAGTTTTTCCAATTTATATATTTTGTATTACTTAAAAATATTATGCATTTAAGGTTTTGACTATACATCTAATAAAGCCCATTAAATAATAAATAATATCTACATATATTTCCTTTTTGAAAAGGCTGAGATTTTGAAGTTTTCATATTACAGGTTAAGCTATGTTTGTTTACACAGAAATAATAATATTTCAAAATAATAATTCTAGGTCTGGATGTTAGACCCTGTGTAATATATGCATGGTAAAATACCCCCATAATAATAGTGAACTTTCAGTTAATGATGTAAGTTTTTGTAAGAATATTTCAGGTGTAAATTGATAACAATTTGCAATAATTCAACTCACACAAATGGAATGGCAGACTATGAAGACAAAAAAAAATATTCTGAACCAGTTGTCAAAGTAAAAAACAACTCAATAAGAATTATTTATAATGATTAATGAATAAAATTTATTCTTATCTACCTATAATATGCAAACTACTCTCATGCTTTTAGGCAGTAAGTCTGTCACAATAAATTAATATAAATAAATCACCTGTAAAACATCTGATTTCAAAAGTGCAGTTGGTACTTCAAGAAGAGATATAATTCCAAGTAAATCTTCCATTTTCAATTAGATCTATCTATAAAAAGAAAACATATTTACTGTGTTTACTTAAAACTAATTTGAGCAAATTATACAGAATGTATGGTCACCTGAGAGAAAGCAGAAAATGTCAGGAATTTGAATTTGAAACAAGTAAATGAAAGGCCATTTTTATGATAATTATTTACTACATTAACTATATTTACAATAAAAGTCAATTAGTGAAATATTCAAAAACAATCATTGTGTTTCTTTGATAGGCTCAAATCCCTCCTTCTGCATTTTCTCTTTAAATAAATCATAGTCCCTTTTTCTATCAAAATGAGTCACCCACTTAGGAGGGCATGACTTTTCAAAAATTTTTCTAATTTCAGTACACTCTTTTGGTATTCTAGAACTGTCTTTGATGTTGTGACTATCTAAACACTCCCAGTAACGGTCTCTAGAATCCCAACATGTTTTTCGTTGAGCTCGATCTGGGAATGACATATTTGTTTCACAAAAACCCTAAAATAAAAAATACAACCTTTGAATTTATTTTATTTGGTGTGCATAGATGGAAGACCCTAAATTTAAAAAAACACACAAGACTAATGCCGTGACCAATCGAATAAAACTGTTTTTATGTGAAAATAAGATGATTTGTAGATGTAAGATACATCTAGCTATATTCACATAAAACAATTTTTGACTGTACTACCTTATAAATGAGTCACTTTATTGAGGTTAAATGTAGTTCCAGAAATCGTAAGCCCTATTAAATATCAAATTAACGGGTTAATACTAATATCACTAAAATACTAAGCTATTATTGATCCGTAATGTTTAATATACGTATAACTTACTTTCTGAAATTACTTTAACAAATTCTTGTAGAGATATTGCTTTTGATGGATTATAATTTGCGTTATAGTAGTAGTAAGTAGTAAAAAGGTGTCACAATTGCAAATTCTTATTCTTATTTCTAACCTATATCACTCCTATAGCTCCTACACCGTTAAGAAATCAATCAAATTTGACATTTTGACATCTAGTGACATTGACAAGTTGAGAATCTGTTTTTTAAATGACAGAGGTATCTATGCTCGCACTGCCTTGTCTGACGTAATTTATTATATCTATACAAATAAATAAAATTGAAGTGTCTGTTTGTAATGTCAAAATTACAGCTTTTTACTAAATGCATATGAAAGTATATGCGGTACTAATAACAAAAATACAATTTTTAAAGTTTTTGTCTGTCTGCCTGTCTGTCCGTCTGTCTGTCTGTTTGTTCCGGATAATCTCCGAAAGGGCTGAACTGATTTTGACGGGAATTTCACTAGCAGATAGCTCATGTCACAAGGAGTAACTTAGGCTACATTTATTTTAGATAAAGAATCAAAATCCCAGATAACACGCGGGCGAATACGCGGGGAACAGCTAGTTAATATATAAATTCTTAACAATATCAAACAGCTTGATCTAACAGTAGCAGACGATGGTATGAGTGGCATCTCAAGTTACCAAAACAGAAAATAACTTGAGATTTAAATTGCCATCGGAGCACTTGTTTCATAATTTATTTTCCAGTTGTAGTACATAATCGCTGCCATTTAATAGGCATCTTAAATGGGTTATTCCGTCAATAAGGGCTAATAATCTTCCGCTCTCCAAATGTTACTCGTTGGGATTAAGATTTATTATAAACTAACATTAGATACGTATTACTATTATTTATGTTCTGTGCGTTAGACAATTAACTTAAAATATACTGGCGTAAGTCTATGGTAATGGTATGGTAATCACACAGACGGTTTCGCAGTCATAAAGAAGCCTTAGAAAAAAATGTTTTTGGTTTCTATCCCTGACCTCTATTAATAAAGTTACTAGTACACGGTGACATAATGAGGACTATTTGATTTTTACCATTTTAGGCTGTATATAGTTAAATATATATATATCGATTCATTGATATTTCGATAAAACTGGCGTCATTCTCAACGCGTGCGTCCACCGAAGTCGACCTCCAGCCGCCTGAAGGCGGCTACTGACATGCCTACCGCAGGGGCAATCTATGGTGCAATCTACAGCGATCGAGGCAATATCTAAACTGTCTCTACACACATGCCTGCCGTTCAGTATGAGAGTGTACGTCTCGTACGTGTACGTTGAGAATGGCGCCAGTTTTATCGAAATATCAATGAATCGATATCCATACTAGTAATAATTTAATAAAGCGGAAGAGTTTTTTTTTGTTTGTTTAAACGCGCTAATCTCTGGAACTACCAATCCAATTTGAAAAATTCTTTATGTATATTATAGCCAGATTCATGTGGAATAGTATAAGCTATCTAGCATTAAGCTATATTACTCAGATAGCCTTAAATATGGATATTTGTTAAGCAAGTCAGAAGAAAAAGCACTCCCGAAATGATTTATCCGCGTACGCTGGTGTTATCGTTAGGGATACGTAAATACAATGTTCTAGAAAAATATAGACTTTTACTCCGTCTAAAAAAAAGTCCGCGATACCATATGTCTATTTCTTATATATAAGCCTTAATTTGGTATTAAGTGACAAAAAAATATTGAAAATTTTAAAGTGATGTATGAGCGTTATTATTAGGCATGACCAATTTATCCTTACGAACGAAAGTTACTTAATCATCAAGACAATTTTATGAAGATAAACTTTATTCTTTATACCATGTTATTTGGACGCATAGTTTAAGAGATAATGTAAAATTAAAATAATTCAATACTTGGCTGGGCGCGCGAACGACGCTTAAACCCTAGCCGTTATAAAATGCTTGAACTAGGTCATATCGCGCACCTCGGACTCGGACACGTGATGACGCGGGTGAAACCGCGGGGCACAGATAGTATATATATATATATATATATATATATATATATATATATATATATATATATATATATATTTATTTATTATATTGTAACCCAAAAACATTAATACTAATTTCATTTAATTTCTCTACTTTTGCTATGTCAGAAATTTTAACATACGTAAGTACAATGTACCTAATGTATAATATAAATGTAATAATCACGCCTCTTTCCGAAATTTAAGTTTATTTGCTTGTTTAGCGTAAGTACGATGATGCCATACCAGATGATGATAAAACAAAAATAATCTTCATTTTTTACATTTATAACAGCCTTTTTTAATTTTATGTCACGGGGAATATCTATGTATGAAGTACCGCGTAGGGGGTTAAATTTATTAACATTCATGTCTATAGAATTTATGTTTTTTAGACTCCATCCACTATCTTATTTTTCAAATGCACTAATTTTACTACTAATTGTATCATTTAAAAATGAAAGAAAAATATTTAAGTCATCTCCTTGACAAATAATATAGTTAAATGTTTGAAAAGCGAAAAAAAATTTTTGAGTTTCAGGTCTAAGTATGGGGAACCCCCAAAATTTATTGTTTTTTTTTTTTCTATTTTTGTGGGAAAATATTAATGCGGTTCACAGAATACATCTACTTACCAAGTTTCAACAGCACAGTTCTTATAGTTTCGGAATAAAATAGCTGTGACATACGGACGGACAGACAGACAGACATGACGAATCTATAAGGGTTCCATTTTTTGCCATTTGGCTACGGAACCCTAATTATGTGTTGATGAATACACTCTTGTATTAAAAATAAAATATCATCTTTAATAGAATTTAAAAATAGTCCAGGAGTTTCAAAATTTACCCGTGTCGAACTCTACTTTTGATTTTATTAGTTAAAATCCTAATGATTTCTTATATTCACGCGAAGACTACACATTGAATGAAACTATTTTTTATGGATTTTATCCCGTTTAATTTAACTTTTTAATTCCCGACGTTTCGGGTGCTTTACAGCACCCGTGGTCACGGGGGCGGACTGAGGTGTTTGACATCCCGATGTCATAGTTAGCCCGGCTACCATTAAAACATACTTCAAGCCGCCGAAGAAGATTAGTCAATTTTTACCATCCGTCAAGTGTCATATCCCTTTACAACATGCAGTGTGTAAAGACAGAGTGTACAAGCTGGATTGTGAATGTGGTCTCGCTTACACAGGACAAACAAAAAGATCTATTAAAACCCGCGTGAAAGAACATATAGCTGACTTGAAGCACCAACGTTCCGGGAAGTCTGCAGTGTGTAAACATGTTCTAGATCGTCCCCGCCATTACATTATATTTGATAAACCACAAATCCTCGCAAAAAAACGGCGATTCCTACCAAGGATGATTCGCGAGGCTATTGAAATTAAAAAACATCCTAATTTCAATAGCGAAGATGGATGGGAGCTGCCATCTGCTTGGGATTCTATAATTAATAAAATTAAATCCAAACCCAGACATGCGACTGTAGGACTTCAAGATACTGTAAGCTCATTCTGCGTAGATCGGACCAAAAATTAATATTCAAAAACTGAAGGTAGCCGGGCTAACTATGACATCGGGATGTCAAATACCTCAGTCTGCCCCCGTGACCACGGGTGCTGTAAAGCGTCTCCCACACAGAAGCGGCTTGCGGTGGCGGCCGCGGTGGCGGCCAGTTGTATTCGCTTGCAATGTAAGTGAGTCTGCAAACTCGTGCGGCCTTGTCGCGATCTGCGAGCGGCTGGCCGTGGCCGCATGCTCCGCCCCATTTGCCAATGCGTGTGTGACAGCGAGTACGCGGTCAGTTGTAAATTTTTACAACAGGCCGCGTGTACCGCGTGAAAAATGGTGCTAAATTCAGAGATTTTAATAGAAACAGCGCAAAATTATCCAGTACTTTATGATAATTCGCATCGTGATCACAAAAGCATTAGTATTAAAACAAAATATATGATAATATTCCTGAATATAATAAAAACTTCGTCACGGTTTGTCATGTTCATACGTCCGATCGTAACACAGACACCTCAGCGAATGGCGCTTTAGGCCGCCACTTGGGCCGCGGTGGTGTGTTGTTACAGCGGCTGCAGCCGCGGCCCGCGGTTAGCCGCCACCGCAAGCCGCTTGTGTGTGGGAGAAGCTTAAAGCACCCGAAACGTCGGGAATTAAAAAGTTAAATTAAACGCGATAAAATCCGTAAAAATTAGTTTCAGTTAAAATCCTATTTCCAAAAGCAGATTCAATAACACTAACATTTGATAAAGAATTATGTGAATTTTAAAGATTATTTTTATGAACATTACTTTTAAATTGATTAGCTAAATATCTTTTCTTGGTTAATATATGACACGTTAGACATTCCACTTGACCGACACTGCTCCCTGCAGAGGTAGACGCTTCTTCTTCCGTTCTTGGGTTTTTGATGATCTTGAGTTCTTCGCTGCTCGTTCGCTTCATTTCTCTTCCAAATTGTAGTGATTGATTGTTAAAATGTTTAAATTTATTAAAAAAAACGATGTAAGACAAAGTGTAAATTATGACCGAAATTTATGTTTATTTTACTTAGTTAAACTGTGTTTCAACTATCGCACAGTGGTTATACAACTCATCATCATATTATGAATCAAACAGTTTACGCTTCTCCATTTCATCACAAACTTTAGACAACTCATGATTTAATTCGCTGTTGAATAGTTCCATATTCTCTTCCATGGGTATGGAAAAGAAAGCACTGGAGCACACTTCACTGAAGTTTTCCATCTTTATAGTAAAGAAGAAAATAGGTAGCAGAGTAAGTAACAGTTGAGTGTTGGTAGACCAACTGATACCCAATTTCAATAATGTCCGATATTTATAGTTTAGCAAAGGATTAGAAATAGAATATAATGAGTACACAGAAGTAATTTAAGTAAACAGAATCACATTCGCTAATAATCAGCTAATGACTGTCATTGTTAAGAAAGGATTTTTCAACTTTTTCACTTTCTGCTATAGTCCTTGTAATACTATACGAGGGCATTTTTGTTGTCGTAGATGCCATCCTTATTAGTCTTTACATAATATTTAATTCTCGTGGAAGCGTGTTTCCAATGATCAGTAGTTAGAATCTTTGATAGCTTCTTCATATCGTACATTTCAATTTTTATGAGATGCGTCGCTTGGTCTCCGTCGTCAGAATCGCTAAAAATATATGATACACCATCATCTCTAGCGGTTCGTGCTACGGTTCCCCTTTTTTATTTTTTATTCAGCTTAAAAAAATGATCAATCGATTGCGATTTTCTTTTTCCACCATCGCATGTGTTATTATTAATGACGATGTCATCACTCTGTTCTTGAGGGGAGAGTGGCGAGTAGTAATACTGTGTATAGGTATTTTAATCGAAGCTGAATGATTCCTGCAACAACACAGTTATCGTGTTAATCACTGCGGTCAAACGACCATACACTAACTCCATGACTGCAGCTGCTCGGTCCTATATAGCACCAGTAAGTTATATCAAATCTAAAGCATTTCCGTAATGAAACTGATAGTAACTTTATGATTCAACAAGCGTATCTCGCATTCTTTCGTGTAACGACTTGCGCTACATAGATAACCCCTACACACCATCACGGAAGAATGTGATGTAATATTTACAAATCACTATAATTGATCTTGATGATTCCTCTGTTAACCATTGAATAGAATGGTACTGTAATAATCTACTAATAGGAGTAATATCATGGATACACTTGATGTACAACAACATCTGAAAAAGATTCATCCCAGTGTAGAAAATAATGTTTATGCCGCTAATAGACTGCCCATGTTTACCCAAGTACCAACGTATATAATACTATACTAATACTAGCTGTGCCCCGCGGTTTTACCCGCGTCATCATGTGTCCGAGGTGCGCGACATGATCTAGTTCAAGCATTTTATAACGGCTAGGGTTTAAGCGTCGTTCGCGCGCCCAGCCAAGTATTGAATTATTTTAATTTTACATTATCTCTTAAACTATGCATCCAAATAACATGGTATAAGGAATAAAGTTTATCTTCATAAAATTGTCTTGATGATGAAGTAACTTTCGTTCGTAAGGATAAATAGGCCATTCCTTATAATAACGCTCATAAATCACTTTTAAATTTTCAATATTTTTTGTCACAAAATACCAAATTATGGCTTATATATAAGAAATAGACATATGGTATCGCGGACTTTTTTTTAGACGGAGTAAAGGTCTACATTTTTCTAGAACATTGTATTTACGTATCCCTAACGATAACACCAGCGTACGCGGATTAATCATTTCGGGAGTGCTTTTTCTTCTGACTTGCTTAAGAAATATCCATATTTAAGGCTAGCTGAGTGATATAGTTTAATGCTAGATAGCCTATACTATTCCACATGAATCTGGCTATAATATACAAAAAGAATTTTTCAAATCGGACTGGTAGTTCCAGAGATTAGCGCGTTTAAACAAACAAAAAAACTCTTTCGCGTTATTATATTATAATAAATAATATAAGTATAGATTAGTATAGATGTAATTTGGATACAGATGATAAACCAGGCTTACATTGGATAGCTTTATATATCTATACGAATGGCATCGGTCAATATTTTGATTCATATGGACGATCATCTGCACGATATCATCTAGAGTTTTTAAAAAGGAATTGTACAAGATGGGACTGGAATGTTAATAGAATTCAGAATGAGTGGACTTCGTTTGCGGTGAATATTGCTTAATGCATTTGCTATTTAAGATTAAGGGATGTTCAATGCATAGTTTTACTAGCATATTTACAAGGAACACACTGTGCAACGATATTTTAGTGGATGAGATGTTTCGCTTCTATTTTATAGATAATAAGCAATAACATTTTGGAAATAAAAATTGTAACAAAATTAAGGAATGTGTTTTATTGATGATTCAGAATAGCGTGGTAGTTATGAACAAATATGTATAATACAATAGCACTGATTATCAGGGTGTACAACGAGTAATAGATAAGAGCGGCAATGACGGTGTTCAAGGAAATAACGGGAAAGGCTGAACAATCAGAGCATGCCAAAACTTTTTTTTAGGATCTGTGGTGTGTTATTGTAGATAGTAAGTGAGCCAGAACTGGTACAAACTAACTACTAGAGCTAAGGCTATATATACTGATATACTACTATATTGATATTTCCATAAAACTTGGACCATTCTCAACGCGTGTATTCGGCGAGACGTACACTCACATACTGAACGGCAGGCATGTGTATTATGATAATGCCCCGATCGCTGTTCACCCTAGATTGCCCCTGTGGCAGGCAAGTGAGTAGCCACCTTTACAGATCGATCTGAGAAAATCATAATCTGAAAAAATCAGAATGTGTGTGGTGCATAGTTAAATTGTATGCAATTCCGGGCTGTCTTAACTAATAATATAAATTTAGATTATGAATTCATAGAGGCATTACGGATGTGTGAGTCCAGCCTAAACCGATGTAACATAGCCTACATACAATAAGGTTACCCTCAAAATGAGTATAAACTGGAAAATATTTAAGAATACAATCTCAACTATAAGTACAGAGTGTTGGTACGTATGCGTTACTACATGTTGGGTAATAATATATTACAGATAATTAATTATCTCGAACCCGAGGCTCAAGTTTAATATAAATAAATATTATCAGTCACTTATCGCGCACGTAATATTAATACAGTAAGCAATTATACTTTAAAAATAAAGTCAAAATGCCCTCTAAGTCAAAAAGGATTACCGATTTGCTTGAAAACGAAAGTTTGGTTACATTTTCTTTTGAAGTGACACCCGATGTATCTGAAGATGAACTGGATAAAGTAGATTTGCACCCAATATTTTATTCTATAACTTGGCATGCTACTGCCTATCAGTACAAAGATTTGGACATTGCCCCGTTGAGATTAGCTAGTTTTTTAAGACAAAAAGAAAAACTTGTTTTACTGCATCTATCGTGTAATTTCATGAAAAAAGAATATTTAAATGATTTATTGCCATGGCTGCAAGAAAAGGGCATTTGCAATTTATTTATAATCTTAGGAGGTACCTATTTATTTGCTATTAATCGTTCCATTACTTAGTTTTTTAGTTAAGTTCGATTCAATTCAATGTATTTGGCTGTATTATCTTATTATATTATTTACAGAATCTTTCGATCCCAGTGTATCAGAATTCCATACGAGCCAAGAAATGATTGTGTATATAAGAGAGAAAACAGGAGACTATTTTTGTATAGGAGTGGCTGGTTATCCTTCCAGTGAATATAAAATTTCAACATTAAAGGAAAAAGTGTACAGTGGCGCCGATTTTATTATTACTCAAGCTTTTTTTGAAGCCAATATTTTTAAATTATTTGTAAAAAAATGTAAAGATGAGAATATTAACGTGCCAATCATACCGGGAATATTCCCTTTCCAGTCGCAAGCGGAATTAAATGGATTTTTGAAATTGTGCAAAGTTGTTGTATCAGACGAATTTATGCAGAAAGTAAAAAACAATTCTAATAACGAATCAGACATTTTAGAACTCTTATTACTTGAATTACGAAATGATTTGCATGTAAAACATTTTCATTTCTTTACAATAAACAAAGTAGGCATAATATGTGACTTAATTAAAAAAATCTTTTAATCGAAAATCATTTTAACAAAGAAAATATATTTAATTTTAAGGGACCAATAAAATAACTGATGTAAATTAAGGTCTGCTGTATTATTAGTCATAGTGAACCTGGGTAAGCTATATCCAGATTTTATTTGTTAATTTTGGTCCGATCATTGATATTATTATTAATAATTGTTTCCAAAGCAGATGTTAGTGTGTGTGTGTGTGTGTGTGTGTGTGTGTGTGCGTGCGTGCGTGCGTGCGTGCGTGCGTGCGTGCGTGCGTGCGTGCGTGCGTGCGTGCGTGCGTGCGTGCGTGCGTGCGTGCGTGCGTGCGTGCGTGCGTGCGTGCGTGCGTGCGTGCGTGCGTGCGTGCGTGCGTGCGTGCGTGCGTGCGTGCGTGCGTGCGTGCGTGCGTGCGTGCGTGCGTGCGTGCGTGCGTGCGTGCGTGCGTGCGTGCGTGCGTGCGTGCGTGCGTGCGTGCGTGCGTGCGTGCGTGCGTGCGTGCGTGCGTGCGTGCGTGCGTGCGTGCGTGCGTGCGTGTGTGTGTGGGTGTGTTTGTGTCTATGCTTGCTTCTCATTTTCGCAGCGTATTGCATACAGTTGTGATATGTTTTGTCGTATATATAAATATCTTCGTTTATTTTATTATAAAGAAAGGCAGAACGCGACATAAATTGTCTGCTTGCAAATGTGGTTTTAGTTCAGTATGTCTGGGCAACCATGTTTCTACGTCGTTTATTTAAATGGCATGGATCATAAGACAATGATTTGTGAGTTTTGAGGGTTGTCCAAAATATATACAACTTCCTGATAGAGAGTAAACCGCTGATACGAAATAGAATATCGGTAGAAAAACGTCTCTTCTTAAAGTACATAACTTTAATAAGAGCACGCTGCGCCCTCTCTAACTCCAGAAATCGAGTTTTTGCTGCACCACCCCAGACAGGAATACAGTAGGCCAAGACGGATTGAGCAAGAGCAATGTAGATTTGATTGAAGAGATAATTTGGTGAGTCCTCATCTGAATTGCCCAACATTACATGTCTGAGGGTTTTGAAGATCCAAGTTAGTTTCCTCATTCTATTGATGACATGATCAAGGTGTGGGTACCATGATAGTCTGGTCGACAATTACTCCCAGATATTTTGTCTGAACTACCTTATCGATCCTAGGGCAGTTACAGGTATTTTTATTAGTATCCGTTGTACATTCATGAATTTTTAAACTGAAGTCGGCCTGAGGTTGAGAGTTGTTGTTAGTACTAAAACATATATATTTATTTTAAAATTATTGGTTTTAAAAGTATTTAGGGTCAGGAGGTTGTGTTTCAGCCACTGAGCGATTCGCAACAGACTAGCCTCAGCACTAGTTTTGGCCACCTCCCAAGAATCACCGAAAAAGACAAAACTCTGGCGCTATAGATCTTCATGCTACATAGGTCGTTGATGTAGATGAGAAAGAAGGTAGGTCCTAAAACGCTGCCCTGCGCCACGCCATACGTCACTTCAACAGCTTCACTAGTACATATATAGTATAGGGTGACAAACGAGCACACAGTCCACCTGATAGTAAGTGGCTGCTGTGGCCCATAGACATCCACATTTATCCTCGTTTGCGAATCAAAATGCAGATGCCTTGCCACCCGTGAGGACTAAGATGGAATGCCTCGTTTCCAGTAAAAAGGGTCTCCGGTTCTCTACACTCACCATACGAAACACAGCAGTGTTAAGCTGCTATTTGACGCTGGTATTCTGTGAGAGCGTGGTCCTTCCCCGGTTGAGCCGACCCATTCGTGCTACAACTATACTATTAATATAGCTGCAGCATGGCTCTACCACGTACAGAACCAGGTAGTTTTACTCTTTGTCTCCTGTCCGTTAAGTAACTCTGAAAAAGGACAAGCGGATTCCCCCTTACTCCCATATCTTCAAGTTTATGCACAAGGATGGGGATGGACACAATATCAAAAGCTTTTTTCAGATCGAGGGAAACAGACAGACCGACAGACAGTGCTATTTAAATATTATTTATTATGTATCTATGTTTTGGTTATTAGATACACGCATTATATCAAAGATGTTACCATATTATTTATCGTTATAACAAATTTATTTTCAGTAACAAAAACAAAAGGAATTGTAGCAGAGGGTTAACACGTTCAGTGCGAAACAACGTTCAGTGCGGCCTAAAACACCTTGTCCATGTCTCGCCTGTGGTACGGCAAGGAAAACGTAAACTTCTCAGTCGTGCGGAAGGCGTAACTTCTAAATGGATCGGTGTAGGAAAGAGATAAATATATATCTGAGCTATTGATCCCGATTTCTGTGGTATACCTACTTTAATACCGGATTTCTTAAAACTTGTGCCGCACTGATAAATAAAAATTTAATACAGTGCGGAACAAGGTTGGAAACACCGTATACCCCCGTGTACGTCGTACCGCACCCTTTTTTTTTTTTACATGGGGAAATGCCTACGCATACCCGCCTCGCGGGGGCAAGGACGGGTTATGTCGGACTCGCACCGACTAAAACCCCATGGTGTTCCACCCTCGTCGCATATTGGCAGGGCCACGGGAAAGCTTTCGCACACTTCCGCGGCCCCACCTGCGCTGGCCACTCCATGGCGGCCCCTCCTCGGGAGAGGACTACTCCTCCCCCATCTCCTTCTCAGGTAAGGCGCACCAGAACACATGGCGCGCCCTCCTCCTCGGCCTCCAATTTCCAGTGCGCAACAGACGCCCCCGAGTCCGATGCGAGAAGGCCATGGGGCCAGGAAAACTAGCACTCAGAAGCACCGGCCTTCCTGGCCCCAGCGGCGGATCTGGTCTGTGGCTCCGCCGCCAACCAAGATTCGGCTGCGGAGGGTAGGGAGAGCGGCGCCTCGCAATACCGACACTCCTCTCCCCCCGCAGCCCCACCACCACCGCATCATTAACGGTGCGGCCCCGTCAGAGTCGCGGAGGATAGGGCGAGTGGCGCATCGCCATACCAACACTCCTCTTCCTCCGCGACTCCACCTCGGCTGTAGCGGTAGAGGGTGCGGACTCCCCTCTCACCGCAGCCCCCCGACACACATCCGAAGTGGGCTCGCCAAGCCCACTCGGAGTGGCCACCTCGGGCCGGCCCTACACCACGGGCCAGCCAAGGGGTTCCTCTTTGTTCACCGTGGGTGACCAAGCCACGGCTACTAAGCCCCCCCGCCACGACAAGGCGGGAACCCGTTCGGGGGGGACTAAGCCCCCCCGCCACGACAACTTCACCCTGTTCTAGCTTCACGCGGCCAGTGTTGTGAAACATCGATGAAAAAGATATGAATGGTAAATGAGGGTTCTGTATGATTTCACTGAGGCGGGTACTGTATATCGTCCCTGTAGAACCATATTTTTGCAATTTATTCTTCTGCTTCAGCATCAGCTATTACTTACAAAAATTAGAATACAAACACACTTTTATCTCCTGGTAGTGGGTTGAGCAGGAAGAACTTTTCAACATATACGCTTGAAAAATACACACACAAACACAACATATTAATTTTTTTTCAGAACCCACAACAAACAAAACACATCATCTCGAAAAGGGTTCAAAGTAGAGGAGATGTGTCGGGTGTTATATTAAAATTCCGTACCTCCTTGCCAAGACCTGCACAGAACAGATTTATACAGAACAGACAGAACTTGTAATACAGACAGAAGGCCCGAATCCACAGACAGATTAAATATATAAAAACAATTACGCACCTTCATTTTGGTTGCCTGTAGTTTCGTATTGTCAAAATTTTCCACCAGATTCTCCACCGCAGCGTATTGCATAGATTCACACAGCATTCCTCGTGTAATTAAGTCACCCTTTCTCAAAATTTTAAGGTATGGCTCGGATCTCAGCGTCAAAGTGATCAGGATAGACTATCGAGCATAAGTAAAGCCGGAAGTTACGAGTATTCCTACGTTGCCATTAACGTTGCTACGTTTTATTAAACGGACTACGAAGAGAAATTCAAAGTATATTACCTACCTATAAAATATGGTGCAGAATATATATATTTTCTTTTCTTTTTTTATCATTGTATCACAAATATCAATATGAGTGTTTTACGATCTCCAAAACTGACCTAATTTACGATCTCCAAAACTGACTTATCTAAGTTAGGAGATGAAAATAATTTAACGGATAAACCTCAAGTCAAATCCAGAAATCTCAAAGTACCAGAGCCGAACTGATATGAAACAAGAATTTGACAGTTTTCAAAACGAAATGAGGTTATTCCTTACAAGTTTTGCAAACATTCGATAAGAAAATAAGGGCAAAATGTAACAGGATATGACAGAAATTAAGGAACAACTAAACGATATTAAGGCATGTACAGATAGAGTGATCGAAGAACAGAATAAAATGAAAATTGAATTGGACCAACTAAAAACTCTGTGTACTAGAAACGAAAATAATATAAAACTTCTTGAAAATAATATAAATACTACTAGTAGAATACCTTCATCTTCGTTACAGTTACAAACGACACATTTCACCTATAATGAAATTATAAAAGAATGCCAGCCCGAATCAACTAGTTAGTCTGTGAATGCCGGGAACGTAATCATACACAAAATAACACAATTATCTAAGGAATACCTGAACTTACAAGCGAAAACAAAACCGAAAGGTCCGACTTCGATATGAGCGAAGTTCTTAAATTGATTAATATGATTGACAAAAGTTTTAAGGGGCTTTCTCTTAAAACTTTCAGAATAGGCAAATACAGATAAGAATCGCCCAATAGAGGCATGTATCGAATCCGAACAAACAGCGATGAAGTTACTAGGAAAGAGGGACAATATAAAAATAATATAAAAATACATACAGATCAAACTCATAACCTAAGCTTAAGAGCATGAAACGTTTGAAAGAGGAATTGGTCACCAACAGAGTGGCGAAGAAAACCTTACTTTTGATAGTAAAGTTTTCTTCGCCGAAAATAACTATGCAGCAGCCAAGATACTAAAGTCACATTTGGACAACAATGTTGATG